TATCTGCAATTCCTGCTTAGTCAAAATACGTATCGTAATTGTGGTGTCATCACAATTCAAGAATCTTGGTTGAATGATTTACACGATGACTGCCTTGTATCACTACATGATTTCAAAATTTATCGTCAGGATCGATCGAAAAATAAAAAAAGGTGTGGTGGCGGTGTAGCTACGTTTGTAAACATAAACTGGTGTCAATCTTCGTCTGTGTGTTTTAAGTTTTCAAATGACTTTATCGACTGTCTAACTCTAAGATGTCGTCCAAAACATCTGAATAAATACAAATATGTTTATGTTACCAATATCTACGTGACTCCAGATTGCACATCATCTGCACTATCTGTTTTTGCTGATGAATTCACTGAGTTCGCTGTTACTGCCTTCAGTGATTCACTTTCAGTTGTATGCGGTGATTTCAATTCATGTGACTGTAGCTTCCTTACGTCACTAGGTCACCAAAACGTAGTAGATTTTCCTACTCGTTTGGATGCTCATTTAGACTTCGTTTTCATTAATGATGTGGATATATATGCGACTCGTAAACGTGCTCCATTGTCTAGCTCAGATCACTGTTTAATTCGTGTTCTACCTAAAGTATATGGAAAGCATGGGAAGAGTACACTCTTACATCAAACCAAGAAAGTCAAATATAGGAATTACTCAGAAGAAAATATCCGAAATCTAAAAAACATGTTTCATACGACTAACTGGGAATTATTTACAGATGACTCACTGGAAAACACTACTGATGTTATCACTTGTTACCTTAAATTCTGTTTTGATATTTGTTGTCCCACTGAAACCATTTTTGTAAGTTTTGATCGGCTTACATCTTCACAACTAAAACGACTACGGAGGATTAAAGAAAGAATGTACAAAGAGAAGAACTCAAATGAAGTTCGTAAGCTAAATGGTCTGATAAACCTAGAGATTAGACGTCTCAACTGCATGTTTACTCAAAAACTCTTATCTTGCAAAAACTCTACAAGTATGTGGAAATTCTTTAAAGAACTTACAGGTGACAGAAAGTTTAGAAGCGATAACCAGCTGAATGTTTGTGACTTAAATAAGTCTTTTGTACGTCAGTCATCTGATGTGATGCTCCCTCTATCCACGGGTTTAAAAAATAGCTGTGTTCATACGTTCACTGAAACTGATGTACGAGGATGTCTCCAGTCGCTTAATTCATCTCGATGTTTGGGTCCTGATGGTATCCCAAACCTCCTTTTTAAAAAATGTGCTGACGTTCTGTGTCATCCGTTCACAACTATTTTTAACAGATCTTTCTCATCTAATCTCATACCAAAAATGTGGAGAAAGATGAAGATAATTCCTGTACCCAAGAAAGCATCTGGTGATAAGAATGTAAAATTTAGACCTATTGCAATAACTTCACCTTTCCTCAAAACCATGGAAAAATTATTAATACTTCCACTTCAGCCTGCGATAAAAGAGCATACTGACCCATACCAGTTTGCATACAGGCGCAAAAGAAGCACTTTAGATGCTGTTGCAGTTCTGCATCACAACATAGTGTTCAACTTAGAAAAGGGTAAGAACTATGTTCGATGTGCTTTTCTAGACTATACTTCAGCTTTTGACTCTATACCAAGACAACGTTTACTTAACAAGTTAATCAGCGTCAACACTGACAGCTGGATAACCAACTGGCTGTGTTCCTACCTCTCTGGAAGGGAACAGTACACTGTGTTTGGAGGAAAGAGTTCAGATTCTCTACTGTCTCAGGAAGGTGTACCACAAGGAGCTGTTCTTTCACCTCTTCTATTCTCTTTTTTTCTGCATGACCTGCCATCTTCCACAGAAAACACTTTTGTGAAGTACGCGGATGATCTCACTGTATGTATGCCTATATCTTCCTCTTTACATCCCATAGAAATGAATGAGTTTTTGTCTCGTATTGATTGTTGGTCTGTTGGTAATGGTCTCATACTTAATCCATCTAAATGTCAAGCTGTTAACTTTAGTATGAGACATGAACGGAATATAAACACTATTTTGAGATCCCATAGTGCTTGTACCATCGGAGACTCTTTGATAAACGCGGTGTCGAAGGTCAATTATCTTGGTGTCACCTTTTCCTCTGATCTGTCTTGGTCTTCCCACGTTTTATCGTTATCAAAGAAGGTTTTCCGTCTGACCTACTACATAAAGAGATTGCATGCCCTTGGAATTACTCGTCATTTTCTCTTACAATTTGTTAATTCTTGCATATTACCTATTATTCTTTACTGTTCTCCATTATTCTTTCCCGGGCTTTTGAGAAAAGACTTTGCTGTATTGCGAAGAGTGCTAAAGGCAGTTAGTAAGACGTGCGGTGAATCTTTCGAGGTCATAATTAATATGGTTGTGGACAGACATTTAAAATCATGCAAACTCCTGGCAGGTGTTATTTTATCAGATACTAGCCATCCCCTTCACTCTTATCTTTCTCCTTGTATATCTTCTGGTAGAACGAGACGTAATTACATAAAAATCCTTGCACGCAAGGAAAAGTATAAAAGTTCTATTATACCTTACCTAGCAAATATACTCTGTGACGAACAGGTTGTTAGAATTAACTTAGTCAATAACTTACATTCTTAACATGTCTTTAACTTTAAAAATTTGTAGTTTCTTTTGGTTTTTTTTTTTTTTTTTTTTTTTAAATTTTTATTTTATATATTTCTTTATATATTCGCTACTGCCTTTTTTGTTCGTTGTTCAGTAAGTAACTTGTTGAAATACCCTGTGCTGAGAATTCTATATTGTACCAAAATATAATATTGAATAAAGCCATTAATAATAATAATAATAATAATAATTCTTAACAGAACCATACACCCTAATGTCTATCAAGACGAATAAACTGAAGACAATCCTATTTGTCACTGTAGCCTGAATACAAGTGTATTGAGACATTGAGTAATTATCTATAATTGCTTTAATTACTTTCCGATTTGTGTGCTGGCAGCCTGTAGTACTATTATTATTATTCACAAACATCATATGGGTACATAAATGTTGGGAAGAAACCATTTCGGGTTCCTTCAAAAATGCAATAATACACAAGTTTCAATAATGTTAGCATAATATTTACCATATGTGAAAAAGAGAGTAATAATAACAGAACAATAATAAATCAGGTTCCGTGTAATTGAGAATATTGAATTGAGTTTAATGAAGGAAAGGAAGAAAATAAGGGGATAGAAATAAAGGAGATGTGAAATACGCAAATAGTTTGATAAGCGTGTTTCTGAACACAGAACGTGGATAAAGGACTATGTATGCATCGTCAAATTAGTAAAAAAATAAAGTAGAAAGTAATTAAGAAGAAATAACTTATTGTTACAGTAAGATATGACGCTAGAATGTTTGTGCAGTCACAGTTTGGAGTGATGCTATGCAAGTCACAGTTAAGTGAAAAGGATAACCAAATATCAATATGTATTGGTCATATATGCGTAATGAAGATAAAACGAGTCTGAGAAGTTAAGTGTAACACAGGTTACTATCCAAATTACGAACTTCATAAAATGAAGAATAATGTTTATTTAGATGGGAGAAAAAGAGAAAAGAAATGAACATCCAGTGAACGAGTTCATCCGTGATAATAATAATTGTGCAATGATTGTCGACTTCTGAAGCAAATTACCAACGAAAAAACGGGAAAGTATCTGTGTGAAGCTTTCGTTCCTTAAAGTAACCCTCGTGCTATTGATAGAAGAAACCAGAGAAGTAGTGAATAGGTCTTTATTTCGATCTCAGCGCGGTAACAGTGGAGCGTCGGATTACCTGTTCAGACAAACAAAGGCTCTCAACATTCAATATAAGATAATAGGGAATATAACGCTTATACAAAACAAGGAAGTGAATGAATACTTGAACAGTACTGTTTTGGCATATGCTTGGTTGTTTGGGGTCAACTCTTAACCAACCAACCTAGGCTGTTACAAAGCAATGATTATTTCGCATTTGATTTTTGGTTGACTTCGAATTATAAACACAATACGTTCGTTTGTTCATCTAGTTTCATTTGTCTTAAATTGCACTGTTTCAGGAACTCCTAGGTAATACTATGATTTGGATACTTCAATTATCATATTGGCATCGCGAGCAGAATCTTGTGACGGAATAATTGGAAATACATCCAGACTCTCAAGCTCTCAAAGAATACGTGGAAAGATTTTGAATCTGATGTATAACCACGAAAGATGTTAAGAACGATAAAATTGTGACTCATTTCACCACATTCATCGGGAAGGATGCCTACAGCATATTAAAAACTTTGGCATTTTCAGATAAGTTTATGTCACTTTCCTATGAAACTCTCAAAGAACCACTATTAAAACATGTAAAAGCGTGCTAGTATCAAATGCCGTGAAAGAGCAAAATTTCGTGAAATGAATCGTCAGAATAATTAAAAGGTTGGAGAACTTATCCACGGAACGCAAACACAAGCTACCGAAGGCAATTCCGGTGATCAACTTCATGTTCAGCTGCGTAATTGATTGATTGATTGCAAGGATTAACATACTTAATTTGGAAAGAGAGCTCATACGAACGCCGAAGTGTTCTTTTCAAGGTGCTAGAATTTAATGTAATAATTATAAGGCAGTGCATGAAATTGACTTTCACAGCATCAAGAACCTTACTACATTACTTAATTATCCCAATCCAATGAGTACCCGAGGTCAAGCAGATAACATTTCATCGAGGAATCGCAAAGCAGGTCATGAGGTGAGCACAAATTCAGTAAGCGTTTGTCCTGTGGCAAAGTTCACTCACCTAATTCATGTGTATTTTGTAATGCCAAATACTTTAAATGTGGTAAAATTGGATGCATCCAGTTAGTTCGTTTACTGCTGAGCGATTCGCCGTAGGTAACATAAGACTTTTTCGCTCAGAATATTTGCAAATGAACTTTTGTATAACCTATGGAAGATCTGTTAAAACAGGTCAATAAATCTGCGGTTTATAAGCGGGTTAGGTGCAACAACAAAATGCATTCCAAGGAACCGGGTGAGTCTATTCCGATTTCGGCGGGATCGTGGATGCGCACTGCTGAGGAGTCCCATGCTAGGACGAAACGGCCGTCCAGTGCATCCGGGTTTTCCATGGTGGTCTAGCTTCAATTGACTCATGATTTCAAATACTGAAACTTTAATATTAATGAGCATATTATAGACCGTATGGAGTCTGTATCCAAAGCACAGTCTGACAGATATACGATGAACCTAAGAAGAATAGGCACGATCGATTACAGAAATTCGGATTCCAATTTAAGCTGTGGCGGTTGTGGTGTTTGTATGAAGTAACGATTGTTTTGTACTTGATTGCTGGTTGATTTCAAAATCTAAATAAAATACGTTTGTTTGTGCTCATGTAGTTTTACTTGTCCTAAGTTGCACAATTTTGAGAATTCACAGGTGATACGATGAAACGTGCACTTTTAATTACGATATGGTCTTGTGTATTACGACTTTTCAATTTTTACCTTTCAAATATACCGAATCTATACTATGATTGTTGGCAAATTTAAGAGTTAAAACGTAAAGAACCTCAAGATAAAAATCTGCAACCCGTCGAGCATAGTTTTGTCACGTTCCACAAGCTTTTCAATTTATTCGTATGCTATTTATCGGTCTGTCGACCTCACAGTTCCAGGACGAGCTAAAAGATCTACAACAATTTGTAGTGTATACTAGTGTAGGAACTTCATACAAAATGTCAAAAACGAGTTAGACGGGGTAGTTGTGGAAATCTTAAAGGAACAGTATCATACGTATGCATTTGGAATAATTATACCCTTGATATCGCGTGTTTAGTCTCGTTATTAGTTAGACTGAAATTACCAAGGAAGGGTCTACAAACTCCTTTGCTAGCAGGTTCCTGACAACAATAATGGAACAAGCATTAGTGCAGCATGTATCCAAACCCACACTTTTTGATGCTAACCAAGGTTCTTCTCTGTTGGACTTGGTAATCACTCACGAGACTGAGGATATTGTCAACCTCAACATTCCTCCACCGTTAGTGAACAGCGATCACGCTGTTTTGTCATTCACGTTTAAAACTAGGAAAATGATATACGATCAAGTTACACCCCGCCCAAATGTATGGAAAACTAACATATCAGCCATTCAGGAGTGAGCTGCTAAGACATTGGCTTGTAGATACTAGCTTATCAGTTGAAGAAGCATGTTCTGTATTTAAAGGTAGGTTTGGTTTTGTTACGTTTTCGTTCATACCATATCTGGTACCGCGTAGACCAACTAACAGTCCACCATGGATAACTAAAACAGTCAGGAAACTTCTTGGAAAAAGGAAGAATCGTTGGTATATGTTCATCTCTACTGGCCTAGAACAATACAAATCCAGTTATTTTAAGATTGGGAATGCCTGTAAAGCGTTGATAAGTAATACTAGACGGTCATACTACAAAAATTGGTTGGGGATTCTAGATATAGTCCGGAACGGTTATTCTTGTATTTAGAAAGGCGAACTCACAGAAGCGATGGAATTCCATCACTTTTGATACAAGAAAATCCGTTAATCTTGGCAGAAAACGATACCAAAAAAGCTGAAGCTTTATCAGAATATTTCAGTAAAGTGTTTTCTATCAGTAATGAATAACAACCAACGATTCATTGTGATTGTGGGTGCTCGCTGATGGACCCTGTATTCATTGAGAAAGATACTGTCTTAAGACTGCTTCAGCATCTCAAACCTGATAAATCCAAAGGGCCAGATGATATTCATCCTAGGATTATGAAAGTCATATGAGATATAATTGCCGAACCTTTAGCGATACTGTTTGACATGTCTCTGAGGCACTTCAGACTGCCCAGAGAGTGGAAAGACGTGATAATAAGTTCGGTGTATAATGTTAGGAGTAGGGATTTAGTTAGTAACTATAGACCCGTTAGCTTAATTAGTGCGGTTGTAAAAGTGATGGAAAAAATCCTTCGGATATCTGTTATAAACTATGTTGAAGGAAGTAATCTCCAGGGCACAACATGGTTTTCGGAGAGGCCTATCATGCTTGACAAATCTTCTAATTGCAAGAGAAGATTGGGCTGCAACATAAGATCGGAATATTCCAGTGGAGGTGATCTTCATAGATCTAAGTAATGCCTTCGATAAAGTCTCTCATTCTGGTCTTAAATTCAAACTGGAACGTTTTGGAATCCATTATTCAGTCATAGATTGGATAAGTAACTTTCTCCGCGACAGGAGAAAAAGGATAGGGGTTAATAGAGTGTGATGATGCAATAAAATAACTATGATGATTCGTGTCACTACACAATATGTGGATTCGTGCTACACAAAGTAAGAAACTATAAAGATTTAGGAGTCATATTAGGCAGTGATCTCCAAACCACTAGTCACTGTAAGGCTGCTGCTGAGAAAGGCTATGGGGTATTATGGTATGTTCGTTGGTCTTTCCAGTGTTTAGATGATGAAATGTCTAGATTATTATACCCGATTTACGTGCGACCACATTTAGAATATGGGATTCAAGCAGCGAGTCCTTGTTTCAAGTATGAAGCTGATATGCTGGAAACAGTTCAACGACGAGGTACTAAGATGGTACAGTGTTTTTCTGGCCTATCTTATGAAGACAGACTGAGACACCTTAACTTATTTCCGCTATCTTACCGTAGAATACGGGGTGATCTAATATCAGCACCTTCTGTTGATATATTCAGAACGAGATTGGACCTCCACAGTGTTACAAACTTCAAGGATTATCATGGGTCGACAGACCTCCTACACTTATTACTGAAGACTGAAGACGGTTATTTGTCTAAAGATTGCCTACAATAGTGGATGATTTATTTTAATGTTCATACAACACAAAATTAACTAAAACATTCATCTTTGAAACTATTTTACAACTTGAAAAACACAGAAATTACATACAGAGCACTGTGGAGAACTATTTCAATCCATCACTAACTGATCCACTACAACAAAAGTAAGCCTCAGGGATGTAATGTAACGCAGCAGAAAATATGGCTGGAAAAATTAGTAGATAAATCAACTTCGTGATATAAGCTATACTCTATATAAAAATAATTATTAAAAATGACTTCTCTAACCACTGGGCGAACAAACAAATCAAATCTGTAGAGCTCAATGTTTAAAAGCCAACATGTGATAAATTTTCACTCGTACTTATTTGCCACCATAGAGTTGCTGTACACAATAGTGACTTATTTTGTCACTAAGATGCGTTGATATACGTCCCCGTATCCAACGCATTACTGTGCGGAAGTGAAATTATTTGATGATAATAGCACATACAGGCAGTTCAAACAAGTAAGGAAACAATGCACAAAGGACATAAGAGGAGATAGATTCCAGTATCAGATAAAACTGGCCAATAAATTTATCTCCGGTCCGGAAAGCTTGTTCCGTCATGATGCCTCTCTTCAACAAACTGGAGTTTCCTGATATAAGGTCTTAATAGCCTAAACGACAACGACGGTGTCGCTGCTTACTTATATCCAAAAGAGGTCAGCGCACAGAACATTCAAGTTATCTGTTGGTAGATATTATCTTAATACCCTCAAAAACTATGGAGTACCTGACATGTGATGGTCTATCTGACTATTTGCCATCTATGAACTTCTTATCACCTCGATAACACCCTTTTCAGGAAGGGTCTCTCTCGTATAACCGACTTGCCAACTGCGGTGGACAGGCGGACAATCGTCGTCGACCCCAAGGTCGGTGTCATATTCTTGGCCTTCTCAAAGCTTTTGATAGGGTCAATCATATGTCTTAAGCTAAAACAGGCACCAGGTTACCGTTAATTGATTGATTTACTTTATATCAAAGTAACCGACGTTGTGGGGTCAGGATGAATTTAAGGTGAGATTACAATTTATGGACGACTTTTGAGCGACTCTGGACTGACCTTGGTAGTATCCGCCTAATATGAAGGACGAAATGAGGGTTATAAACTGGTGTGAGGACTTCGAATTAAGATTCGAAGTTGATGGTTAAAATTAGGATTTATATTTAGGGGTTTCATCACGAACTGACATCAACTATAATGGCAAAACTCTATTTTGCCAAATCGATGAGTGATTTTTGCGCCCAAATCCGAAACCTGCTATCTTATATCTTATTGGTTCGTCCAAAAATTACAATCTCACAAAATTTCACTTTCTCTCAGGCTACGGAATGTTCTAGCTGGGTCTCTCAGCGTTCAGTTCTGTTACCTCACCACTTCTTAGTTCATATAAATGACCGATCCCAATGGGTATAGTCTGATTTAATATATCTCATGATGTAAAACTCTGGAGAGAAGTTTACAACCAAGATGATGAGCCAGTACTTCCGCAGGATCTGACTAGAGTTCAAAATTTGACTGGTAAAAACGGACTTACCTTAAACAGATAAAGCTGTAGAATAGTCCACCTGAGACATGTTGCAGGTTAAACACACAATAAAGATAACTCCATCGTAAATGTATCTAGGACTGTTGGTACCCTATGATCTGAAGTCTTACGTGGACCGTGACAAAAATACCTTTCGAGCAAACCCTGCACCGAGGACGTTGAAGCACATTTTTGGCCAGTTCGCCGGTAGAACTTTACGTCTAATATTCAGTAGTTTTATTCGGCTCCATTTAGAGTAAGGAAACACAATATTTCCTCCCTTACTTCAAAGGGGATAAGAATATATTGGAACGGATACAGAGACAAGCCACGAAATCGGTTCGGGGACTCAAGTTGAAGCCTTATGAAGAGCATCAAAAATCATTGAATCCCCATCCATCAGAGTAAAAGCGTCTTAGAAGTGATTTTTGAATGAATTAGAGCGTCATAAACAATCATGTGCATCCCATTAAATACCTACTTAAGTTCAGTCCAAATACAAACCTTAGGGATAACACCCAGAAGTTAGCGACACAACACAGCAGAACGGACTGAGGACACAGCTTTTACTAGAACCCACTGTCGAGTGAGCCAATTCTAACGACTTCGCAGGAGTCCTTTCTGAAGAAACTTGACATATTCTTAAGGACTAAGGACAGTACCACGCTATGCTTTACTATTTGCTATTTCTCTTTCATCATTGAATATGTTTAAGTTCCTACTTGGAGGCATCGGTGATCCACTGCTACTAGACGCATAATCATGTTAAGTGAAAGCTTCTTACATTCCGTCAAGAACCGTTCGAACTGTTTGAACGCACCAGTAATTTTGCCGCCGTTTGACTTTGGTGTGTACAGTGTGATCGGGTTCTTTGGATGCTTTCTGAAGATTTCCTGAGATCCACATGTCGCTCTTGTTTTTAGTGTGTTACCTACGATTTATTCCATCCATTGGAAGTCGGTAATACAGATACAGTTTGTAGCAATCTCATCTGTACGGTTACTGAGGTTACAAGTTTTTGAGGCAGGGTACGAATACATATTCCTTTTTGCCTATAAGTACTTAGTTTGCTTAATGTTTCTAAACGGTGCAGCCGTTTCTGTGGAACATAGTGTTCTATAGTAGAGATAAATATAAGATTTTATTCATTATCGATCAGTGATTTTTTGAGTGCTTCAATCGGTTGAGACACTGGCCAACCGATGTGTTAGAAACGCTATATCGCCCTAGACGTTTTGCTGAATATCACCTCAAATTCCCAAAAGTTTGCAGTGATTTGCCGAATTAGAGTGAACAAGCTGGAGCAATCGACCAACTAAGTTACATACTCAACTGTATTTAGCCTACGGAGGTTACAAAGACCAGACACACGTTCAGACGCCTCACAATCGTAGTATTTCTCGACCTTAAACTATCATTCGACTTTGTTGATCGTGAGGTCTTATGGCAGTGTTTGTCACTGAAAGGAGTACCAAAAAAGTACATTAACCTTGTAAAGGCTCTCTACTCGAACACAACTGGTCGTCTGAGAGCTTATGGCGAACTGTCATCAGAATAGATTACCTCAAGTGGTGTTCGTCAGGGCTGTCCACTCTCTCCATTCTTGTTTAACTTTGTCATTGACGTACTTTTAGAGATAACACTTTCCTCATCTAAATTTATAGGGGTTGAACTTCTACTAGGAGATTCTCATGTTGACTTGAAATATGCCGATGACATAGTTCTATTTGGTGAAAACGCTGACAAAGTGCAGAGTCTTATGACCACTCTAAGCAACAATGCAAGCATGTTCGGGATGCGATTCTCCCCCTAGAAATGCAAAATGTTGCTCCAGGATTGCGTTGCATTGACACCCGAACTGATGATAGGGAGTGAAGTAGTTGAGCGTGTCGACCACTTCACTTATCTTGGAAGTCTGATCAGCCCTTGTGGTCTGGTGTGGGACGAAATTTCAGCACGGATACAGAAGGCTCGACTAGCTTTTACCAACTTGTGTCATTTATGGCGTAGGCGAGATATCCGTCTATCAACCATTGGAAGGGTTTGCTGCGCAGCAGTTCGTTCCGTCCTACTTTGTGGCAATGAAACATGGCCGGTAAGAGTAGATGATATTCGTAGGTTACTAGTATTCGATCATAGGTGTCTTCGAAACATTGCTCGTATATCCCGCGACCATCGAGTAAGTTACGCAGTTGTTAGGAAACGGGTATTGGGTAAGGATGGCAAATCGATTGATGAAGTGGTGAAAATTCATCAGTTAAAGTGACTGGGACACGTGTTACGTATGCCCAACGACCGACTGCCTCGATGTGCGATGTTTTGTTGCATAGGAGTATGTTGGAAGAAAGCTAGGGGCGGCCAGGCCAAAACACGGCACAAGTCTATGAAGTCACTGACAAGTGGACTGAGTCATGTTGGTAGGTGTAAACTACTTGGTTGGGGACCGCGAGATGATAGCAACCGATGGTTAGAGACCCTGAATGACATGGCTCAAAATCGTTTGCAATGGCGCAGGTGCATCCACTCTTTGTGTTCTCCCGAATTCTAATTTCCTGATTCCTCCTTGTCTCTTTTTCTCTTCCCAAATTTATTTCACTGGATTATACTCCTTGAATAACATCTTCGAACCCTAATTTTTCTGATTACAGCTTATAATTTTACTAAATCTAGCACTACGGGATTTGAATCGACAACTGCATCTCTGTGCTAATGTGGTATGACAACTCGAACTGATGTACGTACGTACGAAGTTCTACGTTGTTACTGACTGACAGACGTTATTTGTAGTATGAGACGGCTGTCGAGAGTGCCATATTTAGACAAGACAGAACAGATAGGTTATTTTTTGGCATTACTTTTTTGTTTATACTGAACTGAGTTTTCATTATAAAGTTTGGGAACTTGGACTACTTCATTTTATGCTAGTTTTCCCGTTGGTTTTATATCTAACCACCTGTTGCGTACACTGTTGTTTCTTACGAAGTAAAAGTATGCACACTATTAGTGGACATACTTTTGTGAAACTTATGTGGATTCTTCCAGTGTTGAGGCTAGGTTGTATTTTGTATTTAGTTTTCTAATTAGGACATCCGTGCCATAAATAATTACACATTCTCTCGTCGTGAACTCTTGTCTTATATGAGTTTGAGACTTAAATAATAGTAATGTGAATCGTTTGATTGTTAATCGAAGCAGGAAAAGTATTTTCCATAATTGACATCCAGTGGCAACGCCGTGTTGGTAATGCAGAGGTTCGGCATCGTGTGTTCGGGCACAGAGACGATAATGCGGTTGGTGTCACCATCTTGAAACATCAACCTCGGTGGCTTGGACATGTTCTACGAATGTCGTCCTAGAGAGTTCCACGTCGTGCATTATTTGCCGACACTGGGACTGGTTGGAAAAAGTGGAGAGGTGGTCAGTGTATGACATGGTGTCGTAGTATTAAAGATAGCTGCAAGGGACTGGCTTCTGTCAGTCCTTCACAACTCCCTGGCTGGGGTCCTAGAGATGGTGCGACACAGTGGCTAGAGACCTTATCAGATATGGCTCAGAATAGGAGCCAGTGGCGATTCTGCTGTGACCTTTTACTTTCTTCATAAAAAGTTGTATCTTCCTTAACTGAAAGATCTCTTCTGATTGTACGTTTCTGTTTCCCCCATTATTATTATTATTTCACTACCTTACACTAATCTGTTCGTTATTGTCCTTTTTTTACGCTCCTTAACTTTTTCTTCCTTCTCTTCAAATTCTCATTGTATTGTGTGGCGCATATATATTTGGTGCCCTCTTGTACCAATATTTGTGTCCAAATAAATAAATAAAATCAATAAATTGAGACTTAAAAATCCCCAAATCTTCCTTCTCAACCCAATAATAAGTTCACATCGTTTTTTCCATATGACATTGTCTCTCTTGTTACTAGATCGTCTTGGCTGAATAGGTCCTATACTTTTTTTCACTTATCATCATATTGCTTCATTTCAATAATTGAAACCCAAATTAGAATTTAGACATCGTATATTCTTTGTAATAAAGATAATGCCTTACATCTTAACTCAAAAGAATAAGCAATCCACTTTTTCTAAACCTCAAAATACTTATCCCGTTTCAAATCATTTGAAAATGTTACTTATTGAAAATGTACACTTATTTTTGTTTTCCGTACTGTAGACTGTGAACCATCTGGGGATCTATTGCCTTCATTTGGGGCTTATTTTGATAAAAGCGATTCTGGTCTTTTTAGTTCAAGGTTTGATCCTTGTCACCATGCCAACGGTTTTTAGTTACCAAAGATATGCTTCAAAATCAGTTTTGCAACGATTGTTTTCTTCAGAAAGTTTCGGAAACATTTCTTGTAAATCAGAGAGAGTTCGGTATATTGGTCAACAAGCAGTTCAATGGTTCCCAGGGCATATGCGTAAAGGCATGGATGTCATTCATTCTAAAATGCCACTTGTTGATGTCATTATCGAAGTTCACGACGCAAGGATACCTTTCTCCGGTAGACCTGAGATTTTTCAGAAGTTTGAATTGGTAAGGAAACCAGTCATTTTTTAAAGAAATTTTCTTGCATTTTAGAATTCGAGTCCGTGTGCAGTATCTAGGTATCACCAAGAAACCTATCCGTTTCCATGATTAAGAATATTAAGTTTCATGTTAATCATTTGGCCCATTTGCCTTCAAATGCCCTGGTACGACAGAGAGTGGGGATAGTCACCTCTCGAAATGTTCTCAAATGACCACGTGCATGCAATCACTGCCAGAGAAGTCCTACTCACTGCCTTCTCAAGACGTTACTGTTGTTTATGAAATTAAGAAGACGAAAAGTGAGTGTCCGGCGCTTTAACCGGGTTGGTTGACACGGAGGATCCACCTAAAGGAGTTGGAAAACCCTGATTCCAAACCAATGGTGTACATGGTCTCCATGATCCTAAGGAAACAACTAGCGCATTAACCTATTGCTGGTCACTGGCTACCATCAGACTGCATTTTCATACGTTGCTCCACTGCCTTGTGGATTAAACCTTCAGGTCAAACGCTCGGGGATTAGCCTCCTAAGAAAACCACCTGTTTCGGCTTGGGCACCCGGGGAGTATCCCAGTCCTCACATAAATCGAGTGATTTATGTGGCGCATATCTATTTGGTGCCTCATTGTACCAATGTTTATGTGTTTAAGTAAATAAAATTTGACCACTTCACACTTTGACACCTTGATGAAATCTTTTCTGTAATACAGAGTCAAGTACACACAATCTTGTAAAAGCATTTCATACTAACTGTGAAGCACATACCAAATTCATGGTGCTTGTCTCCACTTAATTCAAAACCAAGTTACTACTTTTTACTTTTTCCCTAGTAAGATAACACCTTGTTTTTTGGTCATCGTTATTTGTTGAGTTTACATCACTATACAATCTTTTTATAAATTCATTTCAAGGATCCTATGTGACAAAAGTAAGCTAGTGAGGTTCGGCATTTCTACTTGACCGTTTCTGATTTAAAGTGGTGTGATGTGATTCACATTAACCACTCTACTTAGGGTTTTTTGACAGGGTTTTCGCGATTTTGGTTGACTTACCACATTTTCCTGTCCAATGAACGAAAGGTAGTCTTGATGTCAAGAAATGCAACTGTGGTTGGAACTCAGTGCTTGAAAGTGTTTGGTAATTTCAAGATAGAGCAACTTGTAGTGCTTTAATACTTGGCGCTTTCTCAGATTCCCCTAGTAAGTGGGTAGATCTACCTTGGGTTATGAACACAAGACAGTTAAGTAAAATATATTAAAGCAGTGAGCCAGCTAATGAAGTATTGTTCGCAGCGTTAAAGGTTCCTTCGATATATCCCCAGTGTTTGGGACATTTCACAAGCATTTCGTTCACAGTGTCCTTTGACCAACCTAAGACTATTAGGTATTATCTTTTTGGCTAATGCAAACGTTATACGTATGGCATGTTAACTACTCTAGTTTCAAACACCGTCTGTTTATTTCACTGAGTGTAGCTTTCTGGGTTTTCTTTATTGAAAGTCTTAGTGTATTTTGTTGCGTGAAAGTGTTCGATTGAGTTGTAGCTTATTTCGACTCTTAATCCTTTATGGAGTCCTTCATAGTATTCGGTCTTTTTATATTGGTTCACAATATTTATTTATGAGTTCTTTATATTTTGAGTTAGTTAGGAGTAACTTATTTGGTGACTTTTATATCTGTCAGCATACATTTAAAGTTAAAGAGATTATGAGATCTTTATAAGCGTTCATTTTAATCGATTCACTTGTTCCTTAACTCATTCTTCTGTTACCATTCGTGTTGGAAATGCTCTCTTATATTTGCTTATGTTGTATTTTCTGAGCTGGGTGGTTTTATTGCAATGCTTTTGTTATCGTTCTGGAAAACATCAGTGTAAAATCAGCCTTTTATGATAACCAAACAGTTCACTTCTACGTGAAGAAAGCGCTGATGATGTTATACAGCTTCTCAATTAATCTGATTATGTCATAGTTTCCCTACAGATGACGCTTTTCCACTTAACTTTTTAAGGGTAATATCCTGTCAGGAGTTTTACTTATCGGCTTAGAATACAAAGATGACATAGTCTTATTTATTGGGATGAGTTTCTCTCCCTCTAAATCTAAAATGTCTTAACACTAGTCCGTCAACTTAACCAGTGATAAAGATTAAAGTGACTTAACGTATTGACTACTTCACATATCCTAGAAGTCTCATCAGGCCCGGTGGGTTGGTATCTATATCTCGGGATGGATCCAGAAAGCTCACTTGGCCTTTGCCAACCTGGGTCACTTGTGGAGTAGTCGAGCGTATACTGTGCGATAGTCCGCTTTGTTTAACCTTATGGTTGTAAAACTTGGTTTACAAAGTAGAATACTTGGATAGGCTGCATGATGTTGATCATGGGTGTTTTTAAAGCGTTTCGTGGAATTAGTGGATGAGTAATGTTGAGGTTAGGCATAGGTTGCTAAGTAAACTTGGCAAATCGGTTAGTGCGTTTATAAGTCATCATCGACTGGGGTGGTAAAGACATTTGTTACGTATTCCCAGTCACATCGACGGGGCATGTTTCGTGGTATGAAGTTAAAAGAAAACCAAGAGCGACCCAAATAAAACATGGGATCAGTCCATGAAGTCATCGACTATTGGTCTGAGCTACGTTGATAGATGCAGACTACCTGGTTGGGGGTGTGTTGGGTGATATACCTTAAAATCATCCACCGTGATTCATATGGATTCACTATCTGGCTTTCCCACATTCTTGACTTCCAGTATTTTTTCATGCCTTTTCACTGGCTTTCGCCATTCATCTTGCTAATTTCATATTGTGATAATATTGTGTGACAACGTTGGCCAGCTCACATATCCACCAGGATATGTGTTTATGATGACTGATAACTAACTTCCAATTAAACCTATCAGCTCAGAAAACACGTAGCCAAATGTATTTACCTGAGCTACAAATCTCCATCATTTTGAAATACTTTTTTTATTGATGTGATTGAGTTGACTTCAGTTTAGCATATTCTTCATGTTTAACCTTTTTTTCACAGTCATAGACCTTATTATTCGACTCAATTGTTATTTATCCTTTTTTAATTTCATATTTGTGCTTGTGTAATGTGACAGCTTGGGTCAATGAATACTTATTGTGACTGTTCTTGAACACTATGGTCGATAATTCACAACCTTTTTTTTAATCTCTCAAATCATATTTTCCTGTTTTCCCATCTCATTTTGTCAATCTGATCATTCTGTTGGGTAACAGTTTACATTGATTCTTCTGTGTAAAAGCTTTTGCATTGTACTGTATGTCCACTACTGAGGGATATACTGGAAGTGTTTACAATGCTTAGTTCATTTTTAACTTCAAACACTGTGTGGAAATAAAGGTAGCGCAGATATGCTGTAAAATTGCCGAGCCTACAGAGGTAATTTAAGTATATTAATAAATCCGACCTATGATATTCATGTCATGTGCACACTAGAAAACTGTGTTTAGCTTCAAACAATAGTAAGTGGAAAATACTGGATGTAGTCTCAGGCAGAATTTATCTAAGAATGAACTTATTCATTCTTCCAACATACTCATTAGATTGTTGAAAACATTAAAATTGACCGGAAATTTAGTTTTTCAGCCAAAATTATTTCTTCAATTATATGTTTTTGGCAATATTTTCAAGATGTCTCATCCTAGCCATAAATTTATGCTATCCACTGCGTTTCGTATAGCTGATTTTAAAATTTAATTGTATTTTTATATAGAATCGTCCTACAATTTTGTTGATGAACAAAATTGACTTGGCCGAACCAATTAGTGATCGGCAGGCTCATACAAATCGAATTGTTGAGGAATCACGTATTATTAAACGTGGTCCACTTGAAGTATACTATACTCAGCTTAACGCACCTGAAAAGCAGAAGGGGATTTTGAAACGACTAATGTCCAGGTTGGTAGGCTAGTCTTTGTGTTTTAACTTAAAGAAGCTTGAATACTTCACAAAATGATAGCTTTGGCATGATATATTGATAAAATTTCAATTGTAAGAATAATCTTGAGAAGTTTGTTTTTCTTCGGTTCAATTTTGATTTATTTTATTATTGTTTTTATATTATAGTTTACCTCATTTAGCTACTACCTCAGGGCATCCTGCCAATTCAGTTATAACAGTTATGGTCTTAGGTATTCCAAATAGTGGTAAAAGTACACTGATTAATGTTCTACGAAGTATTGGGCAGGGAGGTCCTGGGGGTGCAGCAAGAGTTGGACGCACAGCTGGTCAAACTCGTTCTGTGGGTCATCCGATCATTTTGTACAGAGGAAACTCAAGTCATATTTCGGATGATACTGATGACAGTGTAATGGGTCTCACTGACTACAAAATTCAGGTGTTTGATACACCTGGTGTCCTAGAGCCTCGTGCTCGAACTTTAAGTGAACGACTTAGCCTTTGTGTTTGTGGAGCTGTGGATTATTCATCTCTTCAACCAGGTAATAATTCATTTTCTAATAAAAAAAGCTCCTGATTTATTTTAGTTACATTTTTCTCTCTCTTACATATAGTGGTCATTTAATTTTAAGTAATCTAGAGTTTGATTAAGAAAATGAAAAACCGTGACCCTTTTACTCATAAATTTTTTTTCACCAGTTACTTGGGGACAGATGTGTTAGACGAATATAGATTAATTTAAAGCACGTTGCGTGCAGGTTTGTGTTCGAGCACGATGATTGGCTACTTGTCCAATCAGCGCTAGTGAATGCTTGTAGAAGACTCTAGAATCTTCACAAGTAAAAACTATAAATATACTAACGTTTTTCTTACTGAAATTCCTACTTCCATCTACCCTTGTTATTTGGAATGCAGTCTTCGTTCCTGTTCAACCGTGTTCTGATTTGGGGATTTGTCGAGTGAATCCCGACTGTTGTTGCTACCTTGACGTGGTGGTCGGGCTTGCCTATCGTGATGAAGCAACTAGTTATACTCGCTGGAACAACCGTTCCTCAAGGTCCTACCATGTCAGACAGGTCGGTTGAAGAGCGGTAAGACTAAAAGCAACAAACCCAAGGTCCGAAGGCGAAGTCGTACTGCTGACTGTACAGAGGTGTGGCAGCAGTAAGGTGTTTCCTTCAGACAACCAGCATGACAGCGATGCTGCCTTCCCACAAGGGGGGGTGAGGTTAGAAAAGGTCGACCCTAAAAATGCACACCTCGCCTTATCCCACAGATATCCATCTCCGGCGGTAAGGTCTCAACAAGTACGGAGTTAACACAAAAATTACCCATAAAAAGGTCGTGTGTGACCGACCTCAAGCAGTTGTCCCTTGGGCACTGCGGTCACGCTCTCAGGTCACTAAGACCACCTCCAATTCAATTTCCTTTTCAGCTACCTCCAGAAGAACCCTTCCACGGTGTGGGCAACCGGGAAGTGATAACCGCCCTCATACCTCTAACAGTGCTCAAGACCATTGTATTCATAATCAATCTCCGTCTTCACTTCCTATTATTCCTCCTACATCGACTTTCACCTCTAAACTTCCTTTTTCGGCTTCTCCTTCAAGTGTCATCATAGCCAACGATTCCAGTGCGCAAAACACTCCCAGGTCTACTGAAACTTCGCTGCAAACTACACATTGGAGCCTTCAATGTACGCACCCTATGTCAAATCGGTCAACAGGCTTCCTTGGCTAAAACCCTAGAATCTCGTACCATTGATGTATGCTGTGTCTCTGAAACACGCATATAGGATCCCAGTGTGGTCATTCACTTGACCTCACCTTGGCGAAACGGAGAGCCAACGAGACACACCCTCCGTGTATCTGGTGACCTGACGGCCAGCTCTCGTGGACTGGAAGGAGTAGGGATAGCACTAAGCATGAAGGCGGAACAAGCACTGTTAGAGTGGATCCCCGTTAACAGTCGTTTATGTTTTGTTCGGCTAAACGGCTCCGTAAGACCTCGGAAGGATAGGGATACACGTCGTTGCCTTTTTGTCGTTTTTGCCTACGCTCCCACCGACTCCAGCTCAGATGAGATGAAAGATGAATTTTACAGAAAGCTCAACGTTCAGATATAGTACTTGTAGCAGGTGACTTTAATGCCGAGGTAGGTAGATTAAACCAAACAGAAAGACATGTAGGTGGGTATTTTGGTATTCCGGCTCAGCGAACAAATAGTGGTGATCGTCTGCTGCAACTGTGCTCAGACAATCGTTTATTTTTAGCAAACACAAATTTTAAGCATCAGGGGAGACATCGCCTAACATGGCTCTGGAAACGACGAAGAGCGACAACAGATCAGATCTACGTTAAACAAAAGTTTAAGGAACGACCGTGATCAGTGGTGGCCAACGAAAGCAAAAGAGATGGAAAAGGCGGCGGCTATAGGGAACACAAGACAGCTCTACAGACTAATAAAAGAAACTGGAATTAATAAGTCATGTGTAAGTGAGACTATCTCGGAAAAAGACGACACCCTCATCTGCTCTCAGTCCAGACGTTTAGAACGATGGGCGGAACATTTCAGAGAACAGTTCTGCTGGCCTCCAGCTACTCTACAACTACCCTCCATTCCCAGACAGTGTGAATGGAACATTGAAGTACGTCCCCCAATTCTAGCAGAAGTCCAGAAGGCTATAGTTAATCTGAAACGAGGAAGAGCAACTGGTAGTGATGGATTGGCTCCAGATGTCTTGATGTATGGTGGTCAAATTTTAGCGATCAGATTGACTAATGTTTTAACTCAAATCTGGGAATTGAATGTAATACGCAGATGATATAGTCCTGTTTGGTGAAGACGCTGATAGAATGCAGAGTCTTTTGTAGCACTATGCAACAATGCCAGGATGTTTGGAATGCGCTTCTCTCCCTATAAATGCAAGTTGTCGCTTCAGGACTGGTCTGCGTCAACACCTGAACTAAGGATAGGGAGTGAAGTAGTCGAACGCGCTGACAACTTCACTTATGTTGGAAGTCCGATCAGCCCTAATGTCGTTTGGCTTTTGCCAACTTACGTCACCTATGAGGAAGGCGAGATATCTGTCTATCAATTAAGTAATGGACTAGTATACTGCTGAGCAGTTCGTTTTATTCTAATTTACGGCTGCGAAACGTGGCCGTTAACGTTAGAAGTTACTCATAAGCTACTAGTATTTGACCACAGATGCCTTAGAAATATTGCTGGCGTCTGCTGGGATCACCGGGTAAGTAATAGTGAGGTTAGACGCAGGGTATTAGGGAATGATGGTAAATCAGTTGATGAGGTTGTGAATCTTCATCGACTGAGATGGTTGGGCCACGTGGTACGTATGCTCGAACATCGATTACCATGACGTGCAATGCTAACTGGTGTTGGGGATGGTTGGAGGAAAGTTAGGGGCGGCAAAACCAAAACGTGGTATAAGTGCTTAAAGTCACTAACTTCTAGTCTGAGCCATGTTGGTAGATGCAGACTAGTTGGTTGGGGTCCGCGTGACTATCGTAACCAATGGTTGGAGACTCTTGGTGACATGGCTCAGAATCGGTCACAATGGCGTTGGTGTATACACTCTCTGTCTTCCCTCAAACTAAGAGATTAAAATCGCTTCATATCTTTCTTTCTATGAACTAATTCTTTCTTCCCGTACTATGTCCTTACATGCAATCTTTCTTTTATATATTACCACCTCTGAATTAACTACTTTTATGAATCCGGTGTCCATCTTGTTGTGTTAATGATGTGTGGTAACTTGGACCGATGCATATATGTGCCTGGTCCTACGTTGTATCTGACTGACTGACGAGTGAATAAGTGTGCACGACGACTTTGCATTAGGAGTAGCTTGGTCGTAAGAAGTTAAATTATAACAAGGTCTAATTTTAAAAGTTTGATTCACTGATTTAAGACCTGTAGACTTTTGATTCAGGTTATAATGAAACTAGTCTTAATAGGTCAGGTAAACGGTAACACATTCTGTATACCATTGTGGTTACTTGACTACCTTGTGATTGGAGATACTTGATTTCTGGTCGACGAGTTATATATGTTTTGACATAGGGGGTTTTTGAAGCATACGATTGTGGTTGAACCCACTGTTTTTAATGAGTGTAAAGGTTTGTTTAACAATAAGTCTGACGGATAGTAGCATGAATGACTTAGGTTTGATCATAAAGGATAATGTGGCGTTAAAGTATCCTGATCATTTAATGACTAGTGATGTGTTTTGCATTTCTAGTTGGAGATAAAATATGTTGACTAGTTAACTAACTGGAATTTTGTGAAACCTGTAGTATCTTTGCATATCTTTACTCACTATTACACATTTGGTTCAGTATATCATGTATAAGATGTCTAACCTTAAGTTTATTTCAAAAATATATCTGTTCTGGGTATACATTAACTGGTGCAAGTAGTAGCCGATTATACAGATGATTCAATTATGCTTCAAGCTGCACTTTCCCAAATCATTGTTTTGTTTGCTTGTCGTTGATTAGTGTATCATAGATGATTGTTCCACACCAAGTAATTTGAGAAGTGCTTTCCCTGAGAACTAGGTTTAGTTACTTAGCACCTTGTTGATTTGATAATTCAGTTGTAACGATACTATCAATTCACCCTTTAGTAGGATGAAATTAAGTAAGAAAGAATATTTTTATTTCTTATATTTTCCAGTCACTGCTTATTTGTTTCAACTCATTTTTAAAATTGAATTCCTGTTTATTTGGCCTTAAACTTTTAGAAGTACTAGTGGATTACTTGTTATTTTGGTTGAATCGTCGTCAACGTACAGAATACGTTTCTCTTTTTGATTTACCTGGTCCTACCACTGATGTTAACGAATTATTGATCAGCGTGTGCTTTAAAAACAAATTTTTCCTGACTGTATCTAAACCAAGTTGGTTACCTAACGAAATAGAAACTTCAGATGAGTTATTTAAAAGTAATATCACTCAAAAGATGGCTATACCTGATATTAAACGTGCTGCCTTTCATATCCTTAGCTTATTTAATAAAAGATATTTTGGTCCAGTTACTTTCTTACCTGAGGATGAAAAGTTAGCGGATAATTTCTTTCATCTTGCTTAGAAATGTTGAAACGATTTTTTACTGAGCGAATGCTTTTGTAAATTGTACATAACACATTATTTGCAAATAAATAATCTACCTATTGATTGCTTTTTTAACTTTTATTCAACTGAATTTATTTTGTGTTTATATCTATCTGTATTGTGATAGTTAGTGCATTTATTGAGAGTAGCAATAAAATTCCGCCAGTTTTACTGATTAACATTTTTGTTGAAAGTTCATATCTCATTATTGTGCTTGAACACATTTCTAGGAGATTTCAGTAATTTCCCTAGATTAACAAATAAGTTTACTTCAATTTCAGTTTAGAATTAAGCCATCTAGCTTATAGAACGCAGCATTATTGTAATCCCTCTCATCAACTGCCATTCTTCATTCACTTTACCGATAAAACAAACTTGTGCCTTGGTCTCTGGAAATTTGTTCGATATAGATGTTTATTAGCGACCCGGTCCGAGCAAAGACAGATTTGAAGCTTTTTCTTTTTACCAGGTTTTTACAGTCCGGGCGAAATCTATAGCTTCCTTAAAGTAATAAATGTAATTATCATCCCATTGCATAAGTTATTTCATGTTTTCATTTTTATTAAAATATCCCGTTGTTACCCTAATTTATCATTTCTGTATGTATTGTTTTCAATCCAGTAGATAACTAGAGATAGTAAGTATGGGTAGCGCTCAGATATATTAAGTTTATACCAGTTATTCGTATATGGAATTCTCAAGTGTCTTTCCGATTTCTAAATATAACTCTTTGCTTATTATTTCATTTTAGATGAATGATCATCCATCAGAACCTCTTGAAGGAGACAGTTTGGACAAATTAAATAATATTGATTTAAGTCACTCTCCAGATAATTGGTCTGATTGGTTTTCCTATATTTCTTTAAAGGTTAGTGTAGACCAATTACTTTTTTTCAGCATTCTTATTCATACAATATTAGTGAATTGGTTTTCCAAAATAATATAGTTTGAATCTAGTTCATTTATCTTTTGTGTGAAATTCATTTTCACCTGCTCATCTTACCTTATTTTTTTCTTCGAATCATATAGGTCTTTATATATTTCTTCAGAACAGAATAATTGTATTACAACTAGTTTAGAGTAATTTGATTGCATCTACTATCATTATTAAGTAATATTATCAATGAAAATCAGCTTTCTTTCATTTGTCAGCAGACACGACGGTAGTAATAATTAGTTTATTAAGGCACGAGTTATGTAGTCCTTACTGAAACTGAGTTGTTTCAATTAGTTGCATAAAATCATTGAATGCTTATGTTGTTTTACTGGGATTAGTGTTCAGCGTTAGTCATTCAGTGCAAAATTTTTGACTATTCATCTTATTAAGTGGATTATTTACAAAATATTATTTGATGCTAACAGAAAAACGTTTTATCTAGTACAAAGTCTGATTTAACAAACGTTAACATCTATAAATACCCATGGTTTCTGTACAAAATCTAACCTTGGAGTTAAGTGTCTCATACTTTTGCGTCTTCTTTCTGGTGTTCAGGTCGCTATATAGTTCTAGCGTGCGGGTTATCAGAATAGCTTAGGAACGAATATAGCGTCCAATCGACAAGACTTAACAAAATCAGCTGGTCAAATTTATTTAATTGATAGTTGAGATAATCTTTGATTTTTGATTTTTCACGCGAAATCAATTAAGCAGAGTTCACGTATAATATCTTTCGCTAACACCTTGATTACATGTTAATAATGGAATGTAAGAATGGGGCCTAAGCTGCACATTTTGTCTTATTTGGGATTCGTCATATGGATGTTCCTGCTTAACAGTGGTTGTTGATTTCCATTAGAAAATTTGAACTCAGTTTTCGAATCTTCAAACAGCTCTTTCAAACAGTAGATATCATAAAGTAATAGCGCATTGGTTAAATTTTATCTTTTAAGGCTGTAAGTGAATCATCACCGGCTAGGATCCTGTTGTCTCTATCTGTCAGGTCCCTAGTAAAAGAGTCAAAAACCTATGTCTCACTTGTTTCCTATTGTGTATCACTACTAACTAGTTTTCTGGAGAATTTATAAATTTTTACTACCTTTCAACTAAATCGAAAATTCATGTATATTGTAGTCAAAATCGCCGTCAAATTGGATCATTCAGTTACATTGTAAGCTCCACATTTAATTACATCCATACACAAATGTGTGTAAAATACTGTCGTTGGATTTCCATCATATTCATTTGTATATTTAATTAGATACTCAGGTATGTGACTGAAACGGAAACTCATATCTTTTCAAATTAAAGAGTTCATATGATAGATGTGCACTTGAAAACAAATTGTTCTTCAGAGTACCATAACTGAATATCCCTGCCAGCTCGAAAACGCCCTGACTTTAGCATACAATTGTAATTTTATGATTATTCTCGATGCATTATTGTACGTATTGTTCTTTTTGTTTCCTGTTTTTTTTTCAGTTCGTATTATATGTAGCTAAAAGCCCGTGGGAATTTCTTACATCAATATTAATAATCCTCACACCTCTCATGATAATTTGTGCTTATTGTTCATATAAGTTGGCTAAAGAATTAAAACGTCAAGAAGTGGATCAAAAGATGAAGGCTAAACGTACTGCTGCCATTAACAAATCTAGGAAGCAAGTCAAAGTGGATTAAGTAAATTAATTTAAGAACAGTTTTAGTTATTACACAGTTATGTAACTTTAGTTAACTCTTACTGATTTCTTTTAAATTAAGAATATATTTTATTAGTTAGTGTAAACTAATAGACTTTTTGATTATCGATACTTCAAAACTGAAATTTGAGTTGATTTATTTTCTTATCTATTTAATAAAATATATTTAGATTTGGCTGCTCGTTCCTGGCCCAGTATTCAACTTTTTATAGATTTTCTACTTGTTTTTCTCTCGCTCTCTCTGAACATTGATAATATAAATTCGATTTGTCAACTAAAGTATTAAATAAAAAAGATTGGTTCAGCGAAGAATTCTCTTTTCAGCGAATTCATTTTCAAAGCTTTACAATCGCAAATATATACTTATTTTTCAGGATGATAATTACAATATTAACGACAATAGACTTCTGTTAGATATAGTAACAGTGAGGTAGGATTTTTTTATAAACAGGCGAATTAATAATATATTGTAAATTTCCTTGAGAAAGCTTGGACCGGATTGCCAGGTGAAACGTTGGATTTACTTCAAATTCATTCGCTGAGATTTTACAACTACATTCTTCCTCTTTAAGGCGAATAAATAACAGTTTGACTGTTAAGGGCTTAAATATCCATCATAAAGGTAGATAGGAAGGTCATCATTGTAAAAGGATGACTCAGTATCATAAGACAATGCTGAAATTGAGATGAAATGTAATCAAGAAAATCATAAAACCAGAAATAAACCAGTTGGGGGTAAAAAGTTTAAGGAGAAAATGGAAGGGAAAGCAGATGGCTGTGAAGGAAGATGAGTATGAAAAAAATTATGGGACATTAAGACCATGGTAAAAGAAGAGGTTGTACCAATCTCTTTTGGACACACCGTTCTGTTTTCCCAGATGTACGGCTATTACTTCGGCAATGTTAAGAAGATACAATATGACTGCCTTTGGAAGACTTCTACACAGAGTCCGTCTTGACTGAGTGACCTGTGCTCACAAGGTGTTTGATTATTAAACTTCTTATTGAGCCGTTTCCCCCTCTTCTTAACCCCACTGGGTAATATTCTTGAATCTTTTGGATAAATTACTCATCGAATGACCTATATACCTAGCTCCACATGAGCAGATAAATTGGTAAATGAACATTGAGTTGGTCAGATGAGATAATTTATCCTTAAGATTATTGATGAACAATGATCGGCAAAAGAAGACTAATCGCAATGTTGCTGCGAAGAACGCTCTTTTTAAATACTCAGAAATTTTCCTCTTTAAGACGTTTGTAACTCTATCACATTTAAAGTTGATGTTCATGTATAATTTTTTTCTTTTCGACTGGAGTTATTATGTTTTCGGCCTTATGTTCTTATCAATGAATATTGAAGGATACTCGTACATGTTGAAAATAAATCAGTGTGAATTCAACCAATAAACATTGTAATCCTTGCTTTACAGAAGCTAAATACAAATGTATTGCTTCAAAGTTATTAAAATTGAATAAACTCAGATAATGGTTATCTTTTTTTATTCATAACAGGAATTTCCATTATTTTCTTGTTCTTATAATATCAACACACTGACTCTTTTCATTATCAACAAGTCAGTTTCTTTTCATCGTTTAAATCAACAGGATATTGAGCCGCATATAACATTTCAGATAATCTATTCTTGTCGTCAAAATCCACACTTTATAACACTAAATTCAACAATTATCTACCCAGTGAATTATCCATGGTGAATTTTTTAGATTAATACAACGTTAAATTCAATTATATAGGATATGTTTTTATCATTTATTATTATGTTCACTCATCATCCCTTTTTTGCTCTCGGTTTTGCAGGTATGGGGAAACTTTATTAATCTGATGAACATCGTTGCGCCAACTCTCTATTGTATAAACTATTCCAGTATATGTGATATTTCCTCTTTTTTTATAGAACTCCTTTCATTTGTGTAATAAACCGTTTTAATTTGTACCTATGTGTAAATTTGACGGAAACGTTTATTAAGTTTGGTGCTAAACAATGTGTGCACGTATACTGAATCGTCTTATTGTTAAACTTAATTTTTAGTGCTTAATATTGTGGATTTTTTGTCTTTACTTTATACAATTTATTTTTTACCTGAGAAGTATTCGCTTTTTTTATTATCCTTGGTTGTACTATGCAATTTTTGTGCTTAGTACATACTAATGGTAGAAAAACTTGCTCGATTACAATAATTAAACGTCACCACAATGGCTAGTCATCCAACATCCACTTCTCATTTAGTGATAATTTAGAATTCGATATTTGTCTGATAAGAATGCGATGTTTGTTGTCCACATGTATCACTTGCACCGTCTGATAGTTGATAAAGTGC